CCACAGCGCCGGCGGCTTCTCGGCAGGAGCTCTCAGCGAGATGCGGAGCCGCCTGGTGGCGGGGCTCAAGCGCTACTTCCACGCCAAGCGCATGGAGGGCCTGCTGTCGGTGCAGGCGCGGCGGTACCGCCCCGCGCCCGCGCTTGCCGTTGCTGCCGCGATTCGCTGCCTTTGCTCTGCATCCAGGCATGCCCTTGTTTGTGTTCCTCCCTGGCTGGACGGCCAAGGCGATTCGGTCGGCCAGCGGGCGCCAACCAGCCTGCACCGGCAATGTGTCCTGCCGAATGTATGACCAGAACCGTACCGCCCCCGGTACCACAGGGCATGCGCATCCTGGACTACGCCTGCGACCATGCCGCGGAGCGCACGCAGGAGCCGCTGGGCATGTGGCGCCTGCTGGAGAAGGAGGTGGCGGTGAGTGCCTGGTGGGCCGTGGCCGGGCCTCCCTCCTGCATTGGCCTGGGTCCCCAGCGGCCCCAGCGGCCCGGCTACACCACCCCCACAGGCAACCTCGCCCTCCACCCACACACACGCCGCCCCCACCCTTTGTGCAGGGCAACCTGACCACCCGCATCATGGCCCGCTGCCTCATGTGGGTGGCCCGCTGCTGGCGCTCCTCGCCCCGCTGGCTGCAGGCCGCCACCTCCTGGCCCGTCAAGAAGGTGTCGGGTGAGCCGGCTGCCTGGGCGGCATGTGTGTTGCGTGTGTGTGTGTGTGTGTGTGTGTGTGTGTTACGCCAGCAACAGGTTGCGGCTGGCATGCTTGACGGCACCCCTGGCGGCACCTCCCCCAGCAGCCGCCGGCGAACTGCCACAACCCGGGCACCGCTTCCCAGCACGCTCCTGGCCAGGCAGCCCCGCACCCCACATCTCGCTGACGCCTGGAACCCTGCCTGGCCCTTCCTCCATGCTGCCCCACCGCGTCGCTCCCCGCAGGCTTCCTGCGCCGCGTGCTGGGCCAGCGCATGCTTGTGTCGTGCGAGGTAGCTGTGGAGTACTACCTGTCCATGATACACTCACCCCAGGTACCGCCGTGATACTGCTGGGTTACCGCTGGGATACTGCCGGGCATGGTGCTGCTGCTGTGGTGGCATGGGCGGACTGGGTGCACACACACACTCGCACACACACACAACATTCAAGCACGCGGCCCGCCCCGGTCCTCCCCCTCCCCTTCCCGCAGATCCAGTGGCTGCAACAGTCAGAGGAGGCGTGGCCGCTGCAGCAGGAGGTGGAGGTGGAGGTGGATGCGGCCTACAGGTGGGGCCGGGCTGGGGGCTGGGGGCTGCGCTAGGCGGGGTGGGGGGGTACCAGCGAGGCACTGCGCCGGAATGCTGGGCCTACACAGCACCCTGCAGCGGCCCAGCACACAACAGCCATGACCACAGCCCATCCCCAGCCAGGGCTGCCTCCCCTCCCGGCCGCCCCAGGTTCATCATCGACCGAGAGATCGAGGCGCCCGACCGCTTCCAGGCCATCCAGTCCTACCGGTGAGCGCCTGCCACTTCTTGACAGGGTTAACAGTCTGTATGTTAGCAAGAGCAAGCTTTGCGGCGCAGACTTGCTGCCTGGGGGGGGGGGAGGTTGAAACCTTGTTGCATAGTTGCAAGGTGGTTCGTGTGTGGTTGTGTTTGTGTGCGGTCGTCGGAAGCAGAGGCTCTGCGGCGCACAGGCAGCTGCATACCCGAGCGCACCACCCACCGCTCCTGCCCGCCTCTGTCTGTCTCCTCCCCGCCCTGCAGCGCCGCCATGGCCGTGCTTCGCCAGCAGCTCACCTTTGTGCACGAGCTGTTCGAGTCGGGTGAGCTACTGGCGGTGGAGAGGGGCTCGGATGGCGGTAGCGGTGATGCGGCTGTGCTGGCGGCTGCCCCACACGACCCTCCTGAGCGCCCGCCCTGACCTGCCCAGGCATGGTGGACGGCGGCGAGAAGGACGACATGACGGCGCCGCTGGACAAGCGCATGCGTCACCTGGAGATCACGGGTGGGTTTAGGGTTAGGTTTCGACTGTGGCTGCCTGCGTGCCTGCGCGCCTGCGTGCCTGCGAGTGGTGGCGTGTTGTGCCCAGCCTCTGCCCGCCTCCCCCAGCACCCCACCCCGGTTTTGGTCGCACCCTCCCACCCCCGACCCCTTCCGTCCGCCCTGCCCGCAGGCCCCGTGTGGAAGCCGCCCCGCCCGCGCACCGTGCTGCGCGGGCTGCCCTTTATGCAGGTGCTGCCGGACGAGCTGTTCCGCGCCATCCTGGCGGCAGGGACCGTCAAGGGTGCGCCGCGGATGGGCACGCCGGCGACTGGTCGCGGCGGTGTGCGGCGCGCGCTGCAGACCTCCGGCTTGTGCCGGCCGCCGAGGCCTAACATCCTGAGCGAGCGCTCTCTCTCGCGCGCGCGCGTGCTCTCGCTCTCAATCTCGCTTTCTCTCTCACACGCACACATCCACCCTGGCACCCCTGCAGACATGCGCACGGGCGTGGCCTTCTGGGCCAGCTCCGACCTGCCAGAGGTCAGCCAGGGCGAGGCGGGGCCCGGCTGCTATGTGGTGCTGTCCGGCGTCATCCGCCGCATCCACCAGCGCCCAGACGGAACCACCAAGGTGCGGCCCCCCTTCCTGCTCCCCCATCCTGTCCCCTGCCCGCGCGGCGCCGCAGGTCAGCACGCTACCTACCTCGCCACTACTGCATGCATGCCAGTCAGGTGCAAAGCCGGCCCAGCTCCACATGATGTGTACGCCCTCTGCCGCCACTGCGCCCCCGCCCGCCGCAGGAATATTACCAAGGGATCGGCGGCGTGGTGGGCGCGCTGCTGGCCATCACGGGTGCGCCCGCCGGTTGTGTGTAATGCAATGTCGGGGCCGCTGGCATTTGGGCCCGTACCCTTGCCAGCTGCCTGATGCTGGTAGGGCAACCCAGAACAAAGCAGCCCTCTGGGGGCCAAACCACAGCAAGCACATGCCTCCTCAACGCACTCACCCCAGCGCATGTGTGTGCCTCCCGCGCAGGCACCCGCCTGCCCGGCGTGGAGACGGCGGTGGCGGAGGGCAACACGCTGGGCAAGGGGCCCGTGCTCTTCCACATCCCGCAGGTGCCTGCCCGCCGTTGGTTGTGTGGTGCGGGGGCGGGGGCGGCAGTGGGCATCCCAGCTGAAGGCAGCCCCACCCCCGCGCCTGTGCACCGCACGCCTCCTTGCGCGGCCCTCGCCCTATCGAGCACTCACGCTCGCACCTGGCCCGCCGCCCGTGCCCCCCTGCAGTCTGCCATGCACCTGGTGAAGCTGCGGGCCAACGAGGGCGACCCCGGCGCCGCGCTGCTCCGCCTGCAGCTGCTGCGCATGGGCGCCGCCTTTGTGACGGAGAGCTGCGAGTCGGGTGGGTGGGGGCATGGTGTGGGGCCACGCGGCTAGCCTCGCTTTCTCTGCGGGCGGCATGTGTCGCGGCTTGCCTGCCGGCTATTGCCACGTGTGCTGTGCTGCTGCAGCTGCGCACGCTCCTCTGCTTCCCGCGGCCTGAGCGCATGTTTGCCCCCGGCTGCCCCTTCCCCGTCTGCAGACGTGGCGGAGTCCATCCACCTGCACCTGCTGCAGCTGGCCGCCGCCAGGTGGGACCCTCCCTCCCCCCCGGCCCCTGCAGCCTGCCAGCTGCGGCAGCAGCCAGCACACCTGAGGAGCCCCGGCCGGCGGCTCTGCACAGCCGCGACTGCCTCCAGCGCTCTCACTGGCCATGCCGTGCGATGTGATGTCCGGCGCCGCCTCAACTGACGGCTGTGTGTGTGTGCCTCCCCGTCTCCCCCTGCCTGCCTACAGGATGGGGCGCGCCCTGAAGCGCCGCCCCACCCGGCACAGCAGCAGCCGGCTGCACAGCGCCGCGGGCACGGCCCCTGGCAGCCCACGCGCCGGCGCCGGGCCCCAGCCCGAGGCGCTGCCCCGCCTGCAGCCGGCGCCACCCGCGGCACCCCTGCCCGCGTCCTCCGGCCTGCGCCGCAGCTCCTCACTTGCTCGCCTGTCCGCCTGGCGGCAGCTGCAGCCGCAGCCGCAGGGCGGCACCGGTGGGGACGACGAGGACGAGGACGAGAATGAGGGTGGGCTGATGGGGCGGCTGCCCTCGCAGCTGCAGCACCTGCAGCGGCAGGCGGCGCCCGCCCCGAGCGGCCTACGCACCTCCAAGAGTTTCGGTGGCCACCTGGCCGAGCTGATGCAGGTGGGTTTGGGTTTTAGGCTTAGGGTAGCAGGCAGGCGCAGATCATCTGCGCATCGACGCGTTGGAGAGAGAGATCAGCCAGCGCCAGCCTGGCTTGCTTTCTGTGCTCTATGGCCGGCATTTCCGCGGAGCAGCTCCCGACGCCAGCCTGGCACACCAGCTGCTGGCGCCCGCCTCTCCAGCCCACCCCTCCCCGGCTCCTCGCCGCTTCCCTACTCTGCAGCAAATCGCCAAGGAAGAGTTTGAGGAGATGAACAGAGGCGGCGGCGGCGGCGGTGGCCCCTCGCACCTGCAGCAGGCATGTGGTGTGGCAGCGCGGCGCCGGCCCTCGTGCGCTGCTGGCTGTGGCGCCTTGCGCCCACGCCTGGGTGCCGCCCTAGCCGGCAAGCTGCTCGCACCGGCACACACACGCAGCTGCGCACGCGCGCACACGTGTGCGCAACTCACACACACGTGTGCGCATGCACCACGCCGCCCCCTCCCCGGCTGCAGGTGGAGGAGGGGTATGAGGAGGGCGGACCCACCTCCCCAGGGGCCTCGGAGGGCGGCCCCGCAGGCAGCAGCACCGCAGACCTGCCAGCTATGGCGGCAGGCGCGGGCGGTGGCACGCCCGGCCCCGCCGCCAACGGCCATGCCGAGCCCGCCAGCAGCCGGGGGCTGCTCAGCGCCAGCTCGGTGCCGCGCGGCTCGGGCTCAGCGGATGCGGCCGGCCACGCGGTGGCGGCGGCGGCGGCCAAGGCGGCACGCGCGATGCGGCACCGGGCGCGCGCGGCGGAACGGCGCGCGCCGCAGTTTGCGCCGGAGGGTGCGCCGCCGCCCGCCTGCCCGGCCTCTCGCTTCACCCCCTGTGTGCCATCTGCGCTCTCCCTCTTTGCTCCCAGACAGCTGCCGCTGGATCGCCCGCGCAGACCTTGCCCTTGCTCCTG